CCGAAGTGTTTGACAGTTGTGTCCACAAGTCGTCGCAAGTCTTCCGGTTTAGTCACATCCGCCACCACTTCCAGTGCTTTCGACTGTTTCGGTGATACTTTGAGACACTCTTTGGCCACTTCTGACACTTTATCGGCTCGTCTACCGGTGACCACAACATTAGCACCGGCTCTGGAGAACTGTACGGCAGTGGCGGCACCGATACCTGAACTCGAGCCTGTGATCAGCACTACTTTACCGCTGAAGTTGTATTGGAGAGACATTTCTTGAATTTATTTTGAAAAATAATCTAAAATATTAAACTGTTTTGGTGATCAGTTTCACTCAATGAACACTTTCTAACGTAATGTGTTGTATTTATAAACCCACTTAACTTTTAAGTATTGGTGAACTTGCCAAGGGTAACATAAAACATATAGTTATCAAGCCATCAATCAATTTATAAGTGTTTATCGAAAATATAACACTATTTGAAGTAAGTATGATATCATTTCCTTATCAGTATTCAAATTGTATTCAAGAAATGCAATTTATTATTGTGAAATTTTGCTATACTATTACACTATTGTTTGAATGTCAATGTCAAAATTAAAACATTTATTTAATAACATATTATATTGCAATTAATAGTAAGATTATTTTCAAAACAATATTTATAAAAAAAATTCATTTTACATTACTATAATGAAATAATAGTGTTATTTACGGTATACTAATATTTATTATTATTTATAAAGCCTTGTTTATATATAACTAGGTATATAGTTTACTTGTGCTGCTATAATTAATTTGTAGTACTAATATTTAATTATGTTAATTTGAATAAGATTGAAATTAGATAAAAATTATAAATTTTCGTACTTATTATGTATTATATTAAATTATTATATTAGATATTGAGAAAAATACAGTATAACTGTAAATTGTATTCAAATTACAGTACAAACGAGTTTACATCAAATCTTTAAGGAATTCAATGTTAAGAGCATTAGCGGCCATCTGTCCCCCATCTGACACCAGGTTAGTGCCCGTGACAAAAGCAGCATGGTCACTGGCCAGGTATAGGATTGAATCAGCGATGTCAGTGGACAGGCCTGACCGGCCAACAGGTATTATACTGCCAAATCCGTCGTGCATTTTGTCGGACACCTCGTTAGGCATACCCATTGCAGATAGGAATTCCGTACGAACGGGGCCGGGACTATAATAGATTAATATACAATATCTTATTACAGTGTAGGTTATATGTGTAATAATTACAATTATTGTATACTTACTTGATGACATTAACGCGGATACGTTTGGGTCCCAACTCCGCGGCCATACATTTGGTGAACATATCCATCGCAGCCTTAGACGTACAGTATGGCGCCCACCCCGCAAACTTGAATTTAAATAAATGTGGATTAAAATTAAATTTATATTTTATGATCAGTTTATTAGCAATTATGTAAATACTAACGGCTCTCTTCCCGGCGACACTTGAAATGTTGATAACATTTCCCTTTGTTTTCTCCAAATGCTCGACACATATATGCGTTAAATAGACCACAGAATTGAGGTTTAATTGCATCACTTTCAGATAAGTCTCGTAGAATTCCTTATCAGTAACATTAGCCACAATAGAAGCGCCGGCATTATTAACCAAAACATCGAGTTTCCCGAAGTGTTTGATAGTTGTGTCCACAAGTCGTCGCAAGTCTTCCGGTTTAGTCACATCCGCCACCACTTCCAGTGCTTTCGACTGTTTCGGTGATACTTTGAGACACTCTTTGGCCACTTCTGACACTTTATCGGCTCGTCTACCGGTGACCACAACATTAGCACCGGCTCTGGA